CAACAAGGACTCAGGCAGGTCAGAGAAATGTCAAGTTTTTTGACTTTTACATCACAAACAGAGCTGCTTGAGGTTTTCTAAAGCACATTTGGACAAGCCTACAGGGACTGGGAATCTTGTTAAAGTTGAGGGACGCATGGATTCCAACCAGTATCAGCAGATTCTGGAGACCAATGTCCAGGAATCAGTGACAAAGCTGAAGCTGCTGAAGCCGGGGCTGCATCTTCCAACAAGACAACCACCCTAAACACTGCTCAGAATCTACTGAGGCCTTCATGCAGAGGAACAAGTAGAACGTTCTGGAATGGTCATCTCAGTCCCAGACCTGAAGATTATTGAAAATCTGTGGTGTCACTTAAAGAGAGCTGTCCATGCTCAGAAACCATCAAACCTGAATGAACTAGAGATGTTTTGTAAAGAAGAATGGTCTAAAATACCTTCAGACACAATCCAGACTCTCATTAGAAGCTGTAGGAAGTGTTTAGAGGCTGTTATTTCTGTGAAAGGAGGAGCTACTAAATATTGACTTAAGGGTTTTTTGGTGCCCAAATTGATGCACCTGCCTAATTTAGTTTAACCAATTATTGCACACTTTCTGTAAATCACATAAACTTCATTTCACTTCTCAAATATCACTGTGTTTGTCCCCTAAATGATATATTTAACAGATTTTTTTATCCAAATAATCAATGATTTATAAAGTAAATCAGGAAAATTAACAAGGCTGCTCAAACTTTCACACCCCACTGTACATTAATATGTTTATGTCTTGTACAATATGTTACATTAAGAGTACATAATGGTGTCGTGGGAAGATGGGCAGAAAACACGGCGAAAGGGTGTTAAAAAGACAAAATGGTCTTGCGGATATGTTCATAAAGTCATTTATTTATGGGCAGACATTAAACAGAAAACAATCACGAAGTCTGTTGGATGTGGCCCACCCGTCATTGGCTGCCATGCAATGATATACTGTCAGCTAACATCATGTGATAATGAACAACCAATCATAACCTGCCTCATCCTGATACGCGAAAATAGGTCAACTTGATGATGACGTCCAGAGGATATCACAAGATATGGACAATGGTCAGTGTCAAGGTGATACAGACATAATTATTCCACAACACTCCCTCCTCTTGAGTAAAGAAAATACTCAAAACCAGAAATGGAAAAGGAATAAATATTACATGTCTGTTCCACAAATGCATCGCTCAACAAATATAAAATGAGAAATATGGTAAAAATTACATACTTAAACATAATTATTCCACAACAATGGAAATGAGTCTCAGTCACATCCAACCACATCCAACTTTACGTCAGTGATTCTAAACTTGTAGCCATTTTTGTTTTGGCTAAAGTCAAGCAGCCGTAGAAGCCATTCACAACGTTTTTGATTCTAAAATGTAACCAAAAGTAGGGACTCATCCAGTGATCAGTTCTTAAAAGATTTAGTAGAATTTCTCCAGTTTAATGGGATATTTTGCTAACAGAGTGAACCAAAATTAAGGTTTGGAAATTTGCAAACAAAGATGATGTACAGTCTGTTCTAACAAATAATAAAGGCTTTGAATCAGTCTCAACTACTACCACACCAAAGTTCAGCTAAACGGCCAGAGTTAGAGCCAACATGGTCTTTGTACAGTCAGTCAGATTTGACCACCACATCTCCCTTAAACCAAAACTACACAGACATGTTGTGTACATGGAATATTACATCTATGCACTGATATCATTGCATGTAGATGCTGCATGTGTGGGACAAGAAATTGGTAGAAGTTGTGTAACAGTCCCCTCCCTGACCACCCCTCACTAACCTGATGGTCTTGGATCTTGCGTCCCACCACGCGGAAGGCGTTGTTGCCTGTGTGGTGGTAAATGTGGACTCTGCTGAAGCCTGTGGAGCCACCAGCTGGGATCCACTTCTTGTTGGCATCATCGTAAACCATAACAGCAGCTCGTGCCTGGCAGATACTCTGTTCACTGCAAAAACAAAAAGATTTGGTTAATATTTTTAATAAAGCAGTTTCAGTTAGTTAGCTCGTTACAGAGCTGCTCAGTCATCTGATTATATTTTTATATTTGTTTCAGACCATGTATTTTAAAGCTCCAACAGCGTGAAACCTGTACCATGACTTACAATGTAAAATTGATGCCACTGGTGTGTGGAAAACCACAATAAAGCTCACAGAACAAGCCCAAAGGTCCTGCTACATCTTTTCCTTCAGTCTCATGAAATTATGTTTAATCACAAGAAGAAAACATTCCAGCTGGTTGCCGGTTCAACTCTCGGGGCTGGACTGATGCTTGGAGGCAGTGGTGGGCACCAGCCCGCTGAAGTGCAAATCCACTAATTGTGGACATAAATATTTCATTTGTGCTTTTGTGGTCTTACTAATTTTTATAATTCATAAGCAGATTTGCACTTTCTAAAATTAAAAAGCAGTACCACTAATAACTAATTATCTACCAGTCATCATTATGTTGAACAGCAGAAGGTATGACTGTCAATGAATCACAACACATGTGATCTATCCAACAGCACCCCTCCCAGATAAACACTCTTATTGTGAAGGTATACATCCTGCTGACTGTTGCTTTGGGTCACGCTTCTGATTTCCCACAATGCTTTGTGTCTGCTTACGTAGCAGGAAGACAACAGTAAAAACAGTAAATGTTTGTAATCCATACTAACATTTTGTATGTATTGATTTATTTTACTTTACTATCGGAGTTCCTTTTTAAAAAAAAAAAAAAGTTCAAACGCTGGAGCTCAATACGTGACGTAACTGGTTGAAGCAATCGGCCAACGGGATCAGAAATGATTTAAAGATGTTATGCTGATGAAGACTGACATCTAGTGGTCAACTGGAGCAACTACATGGAAAACTTTAAAATCCAAGCTCTTATTTTGAAGTGAAGATAGTTTCCTGTACTCCGCGCTTTTGTTTCCCGTCACAAATCAAATCCATCATGTACCCAGAATGCATCGCTTTAGTTTTCCAATAAACAGTTTAAAAT